TCTTCTGAAACCTCAAGCCCAAACTTGTCAAAATTATCACTCTAGCCTCCTGCTGGAGACAGAGGTGTTTGTGAGTTGCTCGGCCTTTTGAAACTCTGGGATCAAACTTCATGGTAGCTCAGGCCTAAAGAGTAGGGGAGCAAAAATACGAATGCCTTGAGAGGCATATAGTACAACAGTGATACTTGAGCCCACTGGCTGGGTTCCAGTTTTCATTCTGCTACTTTTTTTTTTTTTTTTTTTTTTTTTTTTGAGACGGAGTCTCGCTCTGTCGCCCAGGCTGCAGTGCAGTGGCGCAATCTCGGCTCACTGCAAGCTCCACCTCCTGGGTTCACGCTATTCTCCTGCCTCAGCCTCCCAAGTAGCTGGGACTACAGGCGCCCGCCGCAGCGCCCAGCTAATTTTTTGCATTTTTAGTAGAGACGGGGTTTCACCGTGTTACCCAGGATGGTCTCGATCTCCTGACCTCGTGATCTGCCCGCCTCAGCCTCCCAAAGTGCTGAGATTACAGGTGTGAGCCACTGCGCCAGGCCCGTTGTGCTACTTCTTAGCTGTGTGACCTTGGACACAGTTCTTAATCTCTCTGTGCCTCAATTCATTTCTCTGTAGAGATAATGGTATCAACTTCACAAGTTGTGGGAACAGTGGAAAGAACTGATACATATAAAGTGCTTAGAATGGTGTCTGGCATGTGGTAAGCGCTCTGTAAATGTTGCTGCTGTTACATCATGACTCTGAAAGGGGGTTTTAGTTAAAATAGATCCCATCTACTACTATAGCTCAAAGTCCAGCTTGCAAAAAAGACTTTGATTCTAGTAACTAAGTGGAAGCCAGTATTTGGACCAGGAAATATCCGCTGCTACCTCCTCGCCAGGGCGCCTTCCTCAGGGTCCAGGGAGGGGATCAGTTGCCCTCCATCTTCCGCCCCACCTGCCCCACCCTTCAGTTACACAGGAATGCTGGCTCCTCCAGCCTTGCAATTGCTCCGGGGGATGGAGACAACTTTTTGTGCTGACTGACGAAAGGCTTTCCTAAAGAATAGCTTGGCTTCAGGATCTTGCCTACAGGGAGGTTTTGGTCCCCAAAGGGCAGAGAGACTTCTGTGGCCCCGTATCAATGCCCTGGATATGCCATGAAGATGCCGGAGGATCTAGTTAGGAGAGGAACCAGCAGGAGCCTGGACAGAGGCAGGGGCTGCACGGCGTCCCTAGTTCTGTTCTCTGGGCCAGGACAGGACCTGATGCATGTTTGGAGGAGGAGGTCCAGGATCTGGCTAAGGTGCCTGGGATGGCACCGGGCAACAGGGAAGGGGAGGTCTCTGAGAGTGCCCTGGTGACACTGCAAAGGGTCCTATTAATCTTCCCAATGGGGCAGTGGTGGGAACCCCCACCACTCCTCTGAGGGCTGACCCAGATTATTCAGGGACATATGGAGAACTGACCCAGCAAGCACAGAGTTGAGCTGATTATAGTAGGGACTGAAGAAGGCAGCCGCAAAAATGCAAGACAGCTGCGGATGCGTCCACGCTTTGAAGAACAAAAGCAAAGAAAATTGGCTCACCAATGAGAATTAACTGATAACAACATACTGAACAGAAATCAAAATCAGTTCTCAGCCAGTTCACTCAGAAAAATGCAGGATCCTGAAGAGGACAGCTGAGCGATGTGAGGCCTTTGAATAGTCAAAACTTCTACCTTAAAACCCTTCTGTAAAGTGAGTTCAGTGCTTGCAGAGATGAAGCGAACACGAAGCCCAGGAGACGTCTTGTCTTCAGGTCACCTGTGCTCCCCGGGCTCCGCAGGGTCCCCTGGAAGCCCCTTCCCTGGTCCCTCACTGGCAGCTGGCAGTTAGCGTGGGGCAGCCTCCTCCCAGGTCCTCTTGGCTGTCACAGTGAAGTGCTGCATTCTTTAGGCCCCCAAACCTTGAGCGCAGACAATTTCAGATTTCGGGTTCAGTGTCGGGCAACGCTCGATGTGTCCTGCTCTACCTAGCTCCTCAGGAACATCTCCCCGCCAGCCCATCCCCTAAACCCTAGTGACCACCCAGGTGCATCTCTTTTTGTCAAGAAGAGCTCGTTTATCCTTTTTTTTGGCCCTTTACTGTACTTTGGTAGAAGACTGGCAGCCAGAGAAAAAACTACCCTGGGTCAGGAACAATGCAGCACTGATAAGGAAAGGGTCAACACCACTTGGGTTGTAGCCGAAGACAGATGGTAAACTCAAATGTGGAAGCTGAGGGTTTAACAGAGACTGTTCATAAAGGCACTGAGAGGGCTTAGGAAAACCCACAAAGGAAGACATAGTAGCCAGGGCAATAGGCTGGTCTTGGCCTGCAAGGGCAGGGGACGCAGCTTGTAAGAGGGCTGCCGGGCAGGAGCTGCACCCACCAAAGAAGGCAGCGAATGCCCAGCAGCCCGGCCCAGAGCAGGGAGGCACTCGGGGGGTCAGCGTCTGGACCTGGCTCTCCCCTTCTCTCATCTCCCCTTGGTGTCTTCATTGACAGAATCCCAACGAATCCAGAAGCCCAGGGAGTGTGTTAATGCAGTCCCTGAAGATCAGCCTTTCTGGGTAGAGAAGGCAGAGCAGGCAGAGTGGTTCTGGAGGGGCAGATAGAAAATATCCAGCCCGGGGCCATTTCCCAGAGGCCACAGCTCCTTGGTCTCTAGCCAAGTGCAGCCATTATAGGACGCAACTTCCCTGGCCAATTTCAAAGCTCTGCTTGCTGCTGGGAATGCATGTTTAAACAAAGCCTTTATTCTCTGTTCCAACAGCAGGGCTGGAATTTAAAAAGCTTCATTTTCAAGACTGGTTGCTTTTGATCTGTCTAACCTGGAACTTACATTTTGGAGTCAAATAGAATTATTTAAACAAAGTATTTCAGCGACAAGCACAAAATGTTTTGATTTTTTTTTTTGGCTGCCCCCCACCCAACCCCCGCAGCAACACACAACATTCCTACTCAAAATGAAAGGACAATTTTGTGGCCGACTCTTAAAATCTCAGCTTCAGTTTCCCTGGGTCTTTGTTTCCTCAACCTTTATCTAGGTTTGCCTGTGTACGGGCCCTGGGAGGGGGCTAACTTTACCTCAGACTGGCCTGGAGCAACCAAATATTCTATGAGCACTGCTTCCCTCCTCTCACTCCGGCTTCCAGCTTTGGCAGAACCATGTGTTGTCATCCTGTCTTCTTTATGAATTATAATTTATTTTCATTTTGCTCCACATATCCCCATTTTCCTTCCTTCTCTGATGTAAGGCCTTCTCTGATATCATCCTCTACTCTCCTCAAATGAATTTGTCCCCAGCTCACCTGCATTTCTCTTTTTTATCATAGTTTGCCTGTCTTATCTGTTACTCAAGTTGGAATGTGGATCACTATTTGTATTCCTTGAAAATAACACCTGCTCTGTGCTGTCCTAGACAGGCTATGTCCCACTGGATCACAGCCAAACCCAGCTCCCCACGCTATGGAGCACAGGAGGTATCGCAGTGTTTGTCATTGGTGCCTTTGAGTTGGCCTATCAGTCATTGAAAGTCAATCTGAAATGGAAGAGCACCATTTTTTCACAGTTCTGAAAGCAAATGGAGGAAGGAAGGCCATATATCCCCAGACCTTAAAGAGGCACATCCTTTGGAATACAAAGCTCAGACATGGCCTGGTTCAAGTGTGTTCTCCACAATGAAGTAACAAAAATACAAATAAGTAATGAAAATGATGTGGAAATTCTCTCTAGAAAGAGTGAGCTAAATTTCTATTAAAATGACACCTATAAATCAAATGAACGTCTTGATGGAGGGGCGTTAATAGAATGCATCATATGGTAGGCTGGGTGGTTGGCCTTGCCTGGTGTGAGGTGGGAAAAGGTGAAGACACACTAATGTGTTATAAAATGACTTCATCTTTTAGTTAGTGGTTAATTCTGGACCTTTGCTCAAGTTTACTGAGCAGAATCAATCATTTTTAGGGCCAAGAGAAATGTGGATAGTACTCTATTTGACAACAGGATCTTCTAATCCCAAAAGAGTATCGCTGTGAAAGTAAGAGTATTTTGAATATAGAGGATATTTCATTTTCAGACCCAGAGAATAGGCAGAATCAAAGCCACCATGTTGGTTAGGCTTTTCTGCAAGGAGACAAGCAGCCACCGTGCACTAGGTCCCTGCTTTTCCCCGCCAGAGGTGACAGAACTGAAGCATACACATCTGCCTTTGAGGCTACTACTAGGGAAGGGAAGGTTTCACTTAGCTAATGAGGCCAGAATTCTCTTCAGGTGGACAGAGCATGCCCTTTAAAGACTGGCTCACTAAACCCTGAGAGAAAGCTTAAAGCTCAGGATATGGTTTATGGGCTTCCGATATGACTGGAACTAGTCATCAAGAAGGGAGAAAGATCTTGAAGCAGCTATGTTAATGCCAATATAAAATACAGACAATTTCCACCAGATATGCCTTGACCAGCAGGTTCCCCCAAGGGAAGCACACTGAAGGTACTAAGAAAATCCTGGCAGAACCACGCGGGGCAACACAGGCCAGTGGTATCTTTGACTCATTCAGAATCACAATAGTGTCTTCTAAACTAATTGTGAGAAGCACATGTACTACTTTTAGTTACCAAGTGGATTTAAATGCAACTAGTATGTGCTCAGCTGGCCAGATGTGGGCCATTTTGGAGACCTGACAATTCCTTGGGGGTTTGGAATGGAACTAGGTTATGTCTTTATGAAGGTAAAAGCAATTACAAATTCTTTCTTTAGAATTTGCTTGGGAAGCAAAGGAAAGCAGCTATTCACCCAGTTTGACTTCAACTGGCAAAATTAGTTACCCAGGTGGAAAGGAGATGTCTATAATGCGAAGAGAAATGAGGTATGTTCCCCTGTTTCTTGCTTCATGATCTTCCCCAAAGATGTGTGCCTACCATTGCAGCAGTAGACCAAACTTATAATTTGCATAAAGGCTTAGAGGACCTTATTATATTCACCTCTTGTTAACATAAAAATTAATGTGCTGAGTAACATCTGTTTTTTATTGATTTAATCAATACATTGAGAATTTAGCAGCAAGTTAATGGCAAGCAGTTACAAAATCTCCTATCTTTCTACGTTTAAAATAAGTTGTCTTAAACAATCTATAGCAACCTAAAATCTCACAAACACATGTGAATGAAGCACTTCTGCTGTAATACCTATGGCAAGTTTATTAGTAATTTTCCAACAAAGTCTTCTAGTACAAAGTGCACGTATCATTTGGAATCTCCATTACCATATTTGGCCTCTTGTTTTCCCCTATAAATAGCTGTACCTAAACATAAGAATTTGAAGTAAAAATGAGCAAGTGTGCCCACGGCCTTGAATTGCGGGTATCTGCTCCCCTAAAAAACTTTCGTGTACATCTTGAGTTGATTTTCCCTGCAGCCCACAGCCAAGCGTACTGGTGGCTGTCCTTTAATGCCACGTGCAGCTTATGCTGCTTTGGAGATAAGTAGCTTCAATTTTAAGCTGGTACAAACACATGGCGGGGCTCTGCGGAGCTAAAAGGCTACAAGCTCAGCATAGGGCTGTCCTCTTCCCCTCCTACCCCCTCATCAAAGTGCTAACAACAGCAGCTTTGTTTTTGCACCGTCCAGTACTGGAGGAACCTTAGAGTTTCTTTTTGGTTCTGGACAGGGCCCTGGATTTAGCAGGATACTTGGTTGCTGTTCCTTGGCTTGGAGTCACAGGGGTTTTCTCCATTTCTCCCTTGATTTCAGCTGGAAGGAGTTTGTTAGATGTGAAACTTGAACTGCATGTGTCATAGTTGTCCTTACTGGTCGCAGGAAATTGCTTTTCATAAGCAGTAGACTGCAAATAAAAGGTCTTGATTAATTCTCAGACACAAAGCAATGCACATCAATTCAAAGGTGCAAGGAACTACAAAGCTGTCCAGGATTTTCAAGCCGGAGCACTCTCTAGATACATAGGGTACAAACTAGTCATATTGTAACATTATCATTAAATGCCAAAAGATCCTTTTGCACCTTTAAGAAAACTGAATTGTTCAGTGTTTGGTGTGGAGCAAACTCTACAGGCTCAATTTGAAAACCTCTGCTATCCAAAATGTAAGTAAATGTCTGGTAACATTTGTGCAGGGAAGTCCACTTAGACATAATTGTACTCACTTCATCTTTACAGATTTCTACACAAGCTCTGACATTTGTATGGATACCCTGACAAGTACAACGTAATTATTCTTTCTAACCTGGGTATAAAGTGCTACATAAGGCCCACACTCACATCCCCACTATCTTCCCGCATTAATTCCAGAGACTGGTTTCTAATCCCAGTCACACCACTATGGACCTCTTTGAGCCTCTCTGTTCCTTGCCCTTAAGTGGAGGCAAATAATATTTGCACATTTGCCACAAGAGGTTACCATGAGAATGAAGAGAAAGTGTGGCCACGAAAGTACTATGTGAGCTTTAGAGTAGAAAACAAGCAGATGGGGTTTTAAGAGGCAGTTGTATTTTCTCAGGTTGCCTCAATCCACAGTAAAGGAAGAAGTGGTCTTGAATCCTGCTGTCACGAGGGAAGCAGGGTCCGTTTTGACCTTAGGCCTATTTTTAAAGTGATCACTTTTAATTAAGTGAAGCTGAAGCATAGAGTTCTAAAAGAGTAGAGATTGTCTCAGGAGACCTACAAAGCAACACAGGGGCCAAGCCACTGGGGTAGAGAGAGGGAAGCTCTGGTTTACACAGGATGATTGAGGAAAGAGCTCACAAATTTAACACTCTGGTTACCTGAAAGTCACAGCACACGGGTTAAAAATCAGGTTAACAATTTTCAAAGAGTGTGATAAGATGGTGTGTAACACAAAATAAATGCAGTGTTTCCTGGATCATTCAGGTTCTTGTGATGTAATGATGTTTTATATCCAATAGTAGCACTTAATATATGTTTGCCTAGTGAATCCATGACTTCCCAGGGCTGCAGTAAAAGTCTGGGTCCTGTAAGACTTTTGGCATTTATATATTTCAAGAAAGAAAATCTATATATATTTCAAGAAAGAAAATCTGCCTGATGTTTGCTTACCGAAGAAAGCCCTTAAAGTGTGCCTCTTCAGAACATCACGTGTGTCTGATTTTATAACCAGCATATGCTAATTCTTGAGCAGGTAATACTTAAAAATCATTTTGCACCTTAAAATTTTAATTTGTATAAAATTTGAAATGTAAAAAGGTCACTTTCTCTAGTTCTTTTTCTCCCCCAAGAAAACCTCTGGGTTGCTTCTGTGTATTCTTTTAAGAGGTAGAAAATATTTAAAATTCTTTAGTATTCCTTCACATAGGTTGTATTTTTATTGAAAACTCCTTATGTTCAGTGATAAGGTGAGGATACAACACCCCTGATGTTAGAGCATCTGGCTGAGAACAAGCTGCTTTGTTTAGTACACTGCTGGTCTCTAAAAGATATACACCCTATCTTGAAAATTTCAATTCATAAAATTTAATTACCTTTACATACAAATCCTATTAAAAGGTGAATCTAAGTGTAACTTTCTCTCTTTTGACATTTCTACTTGGATTTTGAGTTATCATCCAAGTTGTTCAGGAAGTAGTTTTCAACATGTCCACTACAACTAACATTCTATCGAGCAGGAATAAAGATTCATTTTCCTTTAATGTACTTAAATTCTTATCTGGCTTAAGGGTTCCATTCTTCTTCACTGCTCCATTTGTTAATGTAGTTGAGTCATTACAGTAGTTTCAGGAGTTGCAGTCACTCCTGAAGAAACACTCAGAAACAGTCTCTGTGAACAGAATTATTGATGATAATTTTTTTCTTTTTCCCAAAAACTCTATAGATGCTGGTATTTTCTTCTTGGATACAATATCTTAAGATCATTATTAAAGTCTTCTGGCAAAGTGGAAGGAAAAAGAAAACTAAACAATGTTTAGTTGCTTTGGTGTAGAAATATGATATTTCTGTTTCATTTTGTAGTAAGATAAGAAAATGATTTTCCTCAGCCACATTGATTTTTTTGTAAATTTATTTATTTCTTAAACAGATAGTACATCCCCATGATTTGATATTCACAATGTTCAAAATCTCCTCTTTGACCCATAGTTAACTGAGCTCTGCCCCCCAAAGACAACCAATACTGTCAATTTATAGTGTACACTTTCAGAGAGATTTTATGCATCTTCAAGCAAATATTAGGTGGAACCAAATGGATATGGTTGTCATTCCACTGTCATTTCCATTGGTTGCAGGTCAAAAACAGTCTAATAATGGCAATTTCCTATGGTTCAATCTAATTCATTGATATGGTTTGGCTGTGTCCCCACCCAAGTCTTACTTGAATTGTAGCTCCCATAATCTGGCGTTGTGGGAGGGACCCAGTGGGAGGTAATTGAATCACAGGGGCAGGTTTTTCCTGTGCTGTTCTCGTGATAGTGAATAAGTCTCACGAGATCTGACGGTTTTACAAAGGGCAGTTCCCCTGCACACATTCTCTTGCCTGCTGCCACCTAAAGCGTATCTTTGCTCCCCCTTTGCCTTCCACCATGATTGTGAGGCCTCCCCAGCCAGGTGGAACTGTGAGTCCATTAAACCTCTTTTTCTTTATAAATTATCCAGTATGTCTTTATTAGCAGTATGAGAACAGACAAATACACTCATCTATTGACATGCTTTCTTCCCACCTTTCATACAAATAGTAGCCAACTATAAACACTCTTACACCTTGACTTTTTTCAACTAATGATTATCTTGAAGATCATTCCATGTCAATTCATAGAAAGAAAAAGTCCTCATTCTCTTTTTTGGCTATGCAATATTCTCTTGTTTAGAAGTACCATAATTTATTTAACCAGTCCCTTTACAATGAACACTCAGGTTTGTTTCCAATCTTTTGCAAGCACATTTTGCACATGACACTTTGCAAGTTCGTAAGTTTTTCTACAGGATATATATTTTAGAAGAGAAATTCTTCGGATAAATGGTACACGGATTTGTAATTTTGAAAGATATCATCATGTTGCCTTCCACTGCAGTTGTACTGATGTATAATCTTACCAGTAGCATATAAGAGTGCCTGTTTTCTTATTTCTTTGTCAATTTGGTTTTAATACATGTTAAAACTAATACAGTCATCCATATTTTAATTGAGCTCCAAAATCAGTTTAATGCTGGCTGCACTGAAACAAATCACAGTATTTGCTCCTTCACAACCTGGTAACATCAATTCAAATCTACTTGCCTTTATGCAAATATATATATATATTTTTGAGATGGAGTTTTGCTCTTGTCACCCAAGCTGGAGGGCAATGACACAATCTCGGCTCACTGCAACCTCCACCTCCCGGGTTCAAGTGATTCTCCTACCTCAGTCTCCTGATAGCTGGAACCACAGGCACGCGCCACCATGCCCAGCTAATTTTTGTATTTTTAGTAGAGGCAGGGTTTCACTATATTGGCCAAGATGATCTCAATATGCAAATGTTTATGCTTCTGTGTATATGGGTTTGTCTTATAAAATACTGTATGTGTATGTGTGCCTTACCATTTCTCTTTACTAAATTCCAGTTGCATGAAGTTTAGGATGCCATTGTTTAGGAAGCAGTATCCTAATAGTTTTTCTAGAAGAGTCTGAGACTCCCCTCAAATATCCTTCATTGAAACGATTCCTCTGATGCTAACGGAACACGAATGCACAATGGCCACCATGGTGACCTCCAGGCCAGGCCATAGTTTTCTTCACAAAGAGCCAAGCCTCTCAGTTCCTGGAGTGGGCAAGGCAAATTCCAGCTTCCAAGTTTTATCTAGAAACATGAACAAATCTTAATTTTTCAGTGATTTATTTTGTTGGGTTATAGGTTATCTAAGTTTTGCGTTTCTCCTTTTCTTCTCTCATAGCTGGTGGGATTCCTCAGGGATCTATGCTGTCACTGATGCAATTTTATAGTTTTGTAAGTAATAGAACAGAGAAATGAAAAATGAAATTGCCAAGGCTATAAGATCTTCCAGGTCAGGAAAAGCAAATAGAAGGTGATGAGCTCCCATAAGATTGTACAAAGGGGGAGAAAGATAACAGAGGAATTTCAATACTTAGTTCTTAGGGGAAAGATTCTAAATGATCATTATGAGACTGTTGGGCATATATTTACCAATCCAAGAGAAGACCTAAAAGTCACTATAGGCTGTTCTTTGAAGATACTGGTCTAATGTACCATGGCACACTGGTCAGAAAAACCTAGCTATCATCAGAAAGCATTTTAGAAATCAAAGAAACAAATATCTATCCTTTTATAAAATCATGATGAATTCGTACCTGAAACACTGCAACCAGCTTGAACAGATATAAAGGGACCAGAGAATGTTTACAGACAGGCTACTAATATGATTAAGGAATGAAGGTTTCTTTTTAAGAGTGCTCTTCAATCTAAAAGATAAAGAATAAGAGGCTATATATAATCAAAATCTATAAAATGAAGAAGGAGGCATATTTCAGCACTGTGGAGGTGGACAGCATCTCTGAGTGCTGCAGTCAGTCAGGACGGTTACATCAAGGGCTGCCTCAAGCAGCATTTCAATTGTTCTTCATCTCTGGCAAATTCTTACCATTTGGGACAGCTGAAGAACAGTCAGTTCTATTCGAGGCAGAATGATGGAAAAGATGACCTTACAAGCATTCCTCCAGTTTTACCTTTTTGTAATTCAGTACCCTTGGCCTAATTTCTCTAGCTCATATTATTAATCTTGAAAAGGGGGCTCCATGTGTGCAAGGGGAGATATGTAACAAGAAAATTGGACTAACTATACATATTTCATTATTCACTGGCATGGCTTTAACCTGATGAACT